GTATAGTGTGATCGTCCGGGTGAGGGTAGTTCTGAAAAGAACTGTTGTTAGTGACTGACTTTTCGACAACCTGAGCGGAAGTCATCTTCAGAGTCAAGTGAATAATGTTAGTCGGTCGATGATGTTATAGGAATGGTCCATTGTGTAATGATGGCGGGAAGACCAAAGCTCTCCGCCATTTAAAAGCATGCCCACAAGACTGGCTACAATCCGCTTTGGTTTATTGATAGAGGATCGCATCGCCAGGTCTCAAAACTATGGGTAGGCTCGACTAGTAGCCGCTGTTCGGGAAAGGAGCCCGCGCTCTTCTCCCGAAAACCAGAGCCCGCGCTCTTCTCGCGAAAACCAGACTCTAAAGAGTGGCGGAAATCGACCCTAAACTATGCGTGGAAAACTACACAGTGGTTCCCGTTCCATTGGACAAGGACAGCGAGGGCTCTAGGAACAAGATTGCGCAATGGTTAGACTTGCTGAGACACTATTTCTAGACAATCCCCGGTCCAAGATTTTGTGATTCTTCCTTCTTATCGGATTCTATCACTGCCATTACTTCAGTAGCTCAATGACTAGAGCAGCTATCATGAAATCGGTTTCGGGTGGATACTTTTTTCCTGCATGTTTTCTTTGTGCTGCATTCCGTTTCTTGTGTTGCTTGCCAGAGTTTTATCTTCACTTTTAACATCATACATTCCAGGAGTCTATTTCCTTCTGTTTTTACTTTTAGGGAGGGGCTCCTTGTCTGTTTACGTTCAATCCAATGCTTCATTCAGAAGTTACCTCGGGACATGCCAATTTTGAAAATTTAGCCATGGTTCCATTGGAAAGATTGAGGAATGGTTCACTACATGGTATTATTCCAGGTTTGTAAACGTTACTAATTATATACCACTTGGACTCAGCACGTGGAGACGCAGTGGCCTCGTGGTTAGTACAGTGCGCTCGCCTTCAGATCACGCGATCCGAGTTCGAGCCCTGGAGACATTGTGTTGTGTTGCTGGGCTTAACGCTCAGTGCCTTTCTCCACCCAGGTGTATAAATGGGTACCAGCAAATTTAACTTTGGGGCCGGGGGTAACCCTACGATGGTCCATCATCTTATCGTCCAGGGAGAGTAGAAACACTACTAATCACTTCGTGCTACTGAACCGGAGCCTGTAACTCTGGCCTGATGGGCCACTTTGCAGACTTTACCTTACCTTAACCAGACTCAACAACTTCTTTCTTTTTTGCCTTGGGGCTTAATTGCCACATCACTATCCTGAGGGTGCCGCCGCAAAGAATGATGCTCAGCCATCATAGCATGAAGCAACATACCCTGTCTCCTTTGTTAACTGCAAACATTTGTGTAATGTTGATCCCAGGGAAGAAATGTTCTCATGGGGTCTACTCAGTGAGGGACACTATTTTAATAGGATTTTGTAGTCCTGTTAAGTTTCCTATCTATGCGCAGCCCAAAACATATAGCTTGATACTCAGGTGTATTGTGAAACTTCAGTATTGACCACCGTCTCACAGAGAAGAAACAAGAGCAGTTTTAGAAATTAGGAAGAACGACATTAGGGCCAGTAAAGAAAGACCTAAATGAAATCAGCTCATTCCGGCAGGTATATTTATCTTTTATTTAGCGTCCACAGAAGTAATACTCGAACTAACATCGCCTCAGGAACTTTTCCAGTGAACTGTTTTGAATTTTGTTACAGCTTCACAGCAACCTGGTTTGGTTTCTGTAACACTCACATCACAGCATGGGATATGTCTGGGGAAGACTCACATAAAGTACTATGGACGGAAAGAGGTTCTTAACACGATAGTACGCTCCCCAACTCTAGTGAAGGAGATTTGTGAAGAGTACAGTACGGTCTACGGTTTTGGTGAAACCAATATGGAGGCAATAAATTCTGGAATTCTTGGTAAGCTGAATTTGGTGAACAGTTTTTCAGTACTTGGAATAAGCTGGAGATGGGAGAAACTGTTACGTGTCACAGTCTAGGGAGAAATTCCTCGCTGATGACGTTTCCTTTGAGTACATATGCTGGATTGATCCCTGGAGAATTAGTTGTCTTACAGAAGAAAAAAAAGTTAATGAGATACTTTATAATCGTACGGGACCAAATATAATATCAAAATGTTTCTAGAAATGCATTTCACTATTAATGAAAACAACCTGGACTTACCGTATGTATTTTAACAAAGCAGATACCATACGCAGCAAATCATTTCCCATGCAAAGCCGTATGTTTTATCAGCTACATTGCAGTATTGTTAAACAGAATTTCCCATGATTAGAATAACTTTTCACTTACCTTTCTTAGGAATCACAGACCCCATGCCGCTTTTTCGCCTCTTGGTTTATACAGCTGCCGAAGTGGGTGCTCAGCAATTTATTGAAATGATCTTCAACTCTTCAGCTGGAAGGGTAGTATTTGAAGCTTATAAGGGCAGTTCACAATTGCCAGAGGTTATTGCCAGAGATCATGGTAATGAGGAGACTGCACAGTACCTCGAACGCTTAACCAAAAGGTACATTTTTAGAAGAATGGCGAAAAACTGTAATGCTAGACTGAAAATAGGTGCATATATGTATACAGCTGTTTCGAGAAAGACGTAAAAACTCAAGTGACAAGGCCGATGTACATTATAGTAGTCTTAGGTTACCAATGATCACCGCTGATAGAAGGAACCCTTCTAACCTAGTCCCTGAAATCTCCGTTTGTTTTGGACACGAGTTGTGACAATATGTTTGTTTGCATTAAACCCGCGCGCATTGTTCGCTTATTGATATATTTATAATTTGCATTTTGACTCATGGATGAGAATCTTAGCATGGCCGGCACGCATTTCTAGCAGCCCTTCCCAAAAACTGAACGAGATGACATTGCTCAAGTTTGACATTTTTGCCTGTCGATGCAAATTGTTCTGGACTGTCCAGGATCTTTTCCGTATTTTTCACCTATATCATTATTTTGTACTGCACAGGTTTTCTGATGAGATTAGGAGTGGCAAGGAATGCTCCCAAACAATAGACTGGTCAGAACTTGCAAAAGCCGCTAAAGCAGCGCAGAAAAAGTTTGGTTAGTAAACAGCCTTGTATTTTCTTAGTAAAAAGTCGTTGCCATAATGTCATTCCACGATAATTCATTCTTGTAACAAGTAAATTTTGTCCTCTGTGTGATGGCTACCTTTCCGTCAAAGTAACTTTGTAAGGGTTATGAATAATCCGTTCGTTTCTCGTTCTTTTGATTCTTACAAAACAACGGACAGTATATGAAAATTGTGTCGGCAAAGTGGATGACCAGCTGACCTTGTACTGCGTGACTTATTTCTGGTTCATCGACATTAAGTATTGCCCCTCTCCTTTGAAGGCATGCTATTCAATAGCTGGTGATTGTCAGCATTTTGGTCAGATTTCCCTCAGAATTCAGCGGTACCCATCGCTCCTGTATGGAGTATTAGATACTCTAAGGGCGATTTCCGTTCAACCAGAAATTCCCGTTTCAATTACTGGAAATTTCCAGCGGCAAATGGAACATCATTTTCCACAATTTCTGGAAAAGAGGACAACCTCGGGAACTATACCCAAATTTTCAAAGATTTCTTACTGGGAAATTATGATCCGTTCGATTTTCACCCCAGAGTTTCAGGAATTTTCGGTTAAATGGTTCGCATTTGGAAAATTTAACAATTTTCGGATTTTCCGGAAAGTTCCAAGGAAATTTTCAAACCAGTTGCCTCTGTTTCGCAAGTTCGGGACTTTTTGGTTGTGTTTTGACCCTGACCATTACAGTGACAACGGTCAGCGTTCAGACCCAGACTCTTTAATCCTTAGACCGGCGTGCTAACCATCAGGACACTGCACTATCTTTATTAAGACACACTGATTCACGTCCTTGTCTAATCATTTATTAATCAACCTAACAGATCTTACCAACGAAAAAGAAGACGGTCTAGATAAACGAAATGATCCGAAGGAAACTGGCTATTCAGGAGACGCTGATTCATCTTCCAGTGAAGCATCAGCGCCGCAAAGCTCCGACTCTGAGGATGATATCTCAGCTAGAACAAAACCAACAACAACGGCAACAACAACGGCAACAAGGAAAGGTATGATAGCTTCGAATTTAGAATTAATTAGGCAACTTGATTCAAGAAATCAGGTACACTCTTCGATCAGTGTTTTCGTCGTCTTTCAGCTCTTTTCCTATTTGAGTTTTGAGTTAGGCCCTCGTCTGTTTGGTTTTATTTGATTCATAGATCCATACGCGAAGAAAAAATACAGAGTTATTGTTACATCGGTAGTTGTTTTACATTTTACTCAATTGACGTCCCATAATTTTTTAATGTTTTCTGTCTCAACAGGTTCTGTCAGCAGTCGAGAATGTAAAACTGGGCAAAAAGAGCTGCACGGAGAAGATCACAAAAGAGACAATGAAGACCCAACTGCTGGTAACTACCGAGATCGTAAAGAAATCTTACACTAATCACGTGGTATTTCCTTCTCCCGGAAGCTTCATCACTTGCCAGTTATTATTCTCGGCGCGTGATTGGGTGTCAGGACTATCTGCCAGTTCTCTCGGTTTCTTCAGACCTCAGACCAAATGATCGTAACACGGTATTTAAAATTCAAAACGGCTGCTATAAAACAAAAGACATGTCCTTGGCAATAGAGACTATCCTTGATTCGTCCCTGATCTACATGTAATTTGATTTGAGGGCACCCATTCTACCGAGGTGGAATGCAGACACCAAGTAATTTAAATGCCATGATTCCAAACGTACTGGTGTGACAATTTCAATTTTCAAGTCTTGTTAAATTATTTCTCTTTCTTTTTCACTCTCAAGGCTAGCTGCAGTTATATTGTGAGATCAAATGATAACTCCTTTTGAAGCCTTGTGCTATCAAGACTCTTATTGCTCCTGGAGATAGGGCTTTTATGACTGCAGCACCAAAACTCTGTAACACGCTTCCTGGATAACTAAACAGCTTGACCCACTTAAACTCACCTGACTCGTTCTTTGATTTTTCTCTTTATGCTACAGAGTCTTACAGCGGCAAAAAAGGTGAAATTTGGCAGCAAGGAGATCTGCATGGCAAAGATCGCAATAGAGACACTGAAGACCCAATTGCTGGTAACTACCAGGATAATGTAAAAAAATTTCAGTATCAAGTTATATCGTTTCCCCTTCAAGAACAGGATAAATGTACGACTGTACATACAATATTTCGGCGTCATTTTTAGATTCCTGGTTTAGTTAAATCTCTCTGCCGTGTCCTAGGGGTCACGAAGTAAAAACTTTTAAAATTCCAATTATTTTTGATTGACCGATTTGAGGTTGAGGTAAATAACCGTTCATTCTGATTGGATCCTTCTTTTATAATCTGCAACGATGATATTTGTCTATCCCCTCTCGTTGTAGTTGTTTTTGTGAAAAATACGTTCAAGGTATCTGTTTTCGTCACGTAAGCTGTGCGGTGGACCACGACCACCTAAATGAACAGAACGCCGACATCCAATTTACTAAAGAGATCGAAGAAAATGGAAAACGTCCTTTTCTAGATTGTTTGGTAAGCCGCGACAATAACGAACTGCGAACGACAGTGTACAGAAAACCGATGCATACCGACAGATTACTTGACGAATCATCCTACAACCCGACTTCACACAAAGCCACGACTATAAAGACTTTGACGAGACGAGCGCAACTAGTTTGTG